TGACAACACCAAGCCAAGGGTTGAGATCCCCTTACCAGTCATCTTTAAAAAACAAAACAAAACAAAACAAAACAAAAAACAATTATTTGTTGAGTAGCTACCATGTGCCAATATCTTGTTCATATGATAGACAATGTGGCAAAGCAAATTTGGATATTTCCCAACAAATATTATGACTTCTGGATTACCTATAATGGGTATAATGTGCTTGAAGGAGTAGATATCAACTCTAAGAAAATCTCTGCTGGTGCCACCTGGTTATGCCTGACAATTCAAAACTTTCTTAGGAGCTATGTGTAGGGCAGTGGTACCAGAGGAAGAAGGGGTAAGATCTATTTACTCATTGATAATTTTCAGAGCAATTATGTCCCAGGGTTGCAAATCAGATGAAGGGCCCAGAAATTGAGAAAGTGGAGGAGGCTCCAGCATGTCTTTGTGCCTCTGGAATCCATCAAGTGCTGTGGCTAGGTCCTTCAGTCATTGGTAGCCAGCATGGTTCCCACTCCAGTTTTGGTTTTGCTGGCTATCACCACATACTATATATGGATGCCAGCATGGAGAGGATCCCTCTTTTTATCAATTATCAAGTAAACAAGGAAGGGAAGAGCATGGATCTTCATGAGCAGATGTCTCTTAGACAACAAAAACCACTGTGGTAGGCAAAATTTTAAGATGCCCCCAAGATTCCTGTCCCCTGGTGTGCACAGCTGCACAGGTACTTCAGAAAGTTTATGGAAAGATTTGTGTTATCTTTTGTTTTATTTTTCTATGAACTTTCTGAAGTATCCTTGTATAATTCCATTTCCTTGAGTGTGGGCCTGCAAATTTGACAGAAGTCACTTTTGTGACTAGAAAAATGTAATAGGATAGTCACTCCCTTAGCTGTTAGATTATATAAGACTCTGTCTTAGCAAACTGGAGAGAGATTTTTCTTGCTGGCTTTGAAGAAGCAAACTGCCATGATGTGAGAAGACCATGTGGCAAGGAAATGAGGGTGGCTTCCAGAAGCCAATAATGCCCCCCAGCTGAAGCCAGCAAGAAAGCAGGAACCTCAGTCCTACAGCAACAAGAAACTGAATTCTACCAACAACCATGTGAGTTTGGAAGAGGGCTCTGAGCCTCAGATGAGATTGCAGGTCCAAGCCAACACCTTGATTTCAGCCTTGTGAGACCCAATGTAGGGAACCCAGCTAAGTCAACTCTGGACTCCTAACTCTAGGTAATTGTGAGATAATAAGCTGGTGTTGTTTTAGATCAGTAGGTTTGTGGCAATTTGTTATGCAGCAATAGGAAATGAATACACACACTCTATAAAGTACAATTTTTGACAGCCTCAGGCCTAATATGCAGTATATTAGTTTCCTATCACTGTGTAACAAATTACCACCAAGTTAGTGGAGTAAAATTGCATAAATCTATTCTCTTACAGTTCTAAAAGGTCAGAAATCTAAAATCAGTTTCATTGTGCTAAAGTCGAGGTGTCANCTGGAAGCTGAAGTCCAAGATCAGGATGCCCACATGGTTGGATTCTGGTAAGGGATCTGTGTGTGTGTGAGAGAGAGAGAGAGAGAGAGACGGGGGTGCAGGAGGGTGGGGGGTGGAGGCATAGTGGGGGAGCTTCCTCTCTCCTGTTTCCTCGTGTAAGGTCACTAATCCCATTCATGAAGGCTCCACCCATATGACCGAATTACCTCCCAAAGACCCTATCTCCAAATACCATCACTTTGGTGATTAGGGTTTCAACATATGAATTTTGGGTGGATATAAACATTCAGTCCATAGCAACTGCTTTAAACAACATTTTGCTATTCAACAATTATTTGTTGAGTAGCTACCATGTGCCAATATCTTGTTCATATGATAGACAATGTGGCAAAGCAAATTTGGCTATTTCTCAACAAATATTATGACTTCTGGATTACCTATAATGGGTATAATGTGCTTGAAGGAGTAGATNAATTATATGAGAGGGATTTATTAGGGGAATTAGCTCACGTGGCTATGAAGAAAAGTCTCACGATAGGCCTCTATAGACTGGATGCCGATAGCGTGGCTCAGTCCAAGTCCAAAGGCTTCAAAACCAGGGAAGCTGATTTTGCCTTGGTGTAAGTTCTGGAACCCAAAAGCTGAAGAGTCTCAAGCTCTGATGTCCACGGACAGGATAGAAGGGTGTATCCCAGCTCCAGCGGATCGAGAGAGAGCTTCATCTCTTTCCTCTGTCTTTTGTTCTCTCTGGACCTCCAATGGATTGGATGGTTCCCGCCCACACTGAGGGTGGGTCTTTCACACCCAGGCCACTCAGACTCTCACACTCATCTCTGCTGGAAACACCCTCATGGACACACCTGAAAAGATTCCTTTACTAGGCTTCTCAGCATTCCTTCATCTAACCAAGTTGACATCTAGAATTAACCCTCACAAGTCCACCCCTTGTCAACTTGGTGTCCATACTATCTCCTTAAATCACACTTAATTTTCGAATGGTACAATAACAATAGTTTCGCCTAACATGATGCATTATCCTGCGTACAACCGGAAACTCATTAATCCCTTTCCAAGAAGAAAAAGGTAAAGTCCTTAAATGATATTTACTCTTCTCCCAATATCCCATAACTTAAAATTGCAAATACTATGAAATAAGGTTAACAACATTTAAATGCTGGTATAAGTCACTAAGTCTCATGGTACACGATAGAGAACAAGAGAAACAAAAACAAAGATAATTGCTAAATATGTGTACAGTATATATACATAGAGACATATTCTCAACACAGTAGGGAGAACAATTACAATCCTCGTTTCTGTAACTGGTCACGTGGTCGAAGCTGGTATTTATAACTTCCTTCTTCTACTACCCGTTCTGTATTCCCTTTGCCTTCAGCGAGCACCTCAGTGGGTCATGGTTCTTTACCTGGTGAAGTGACCCAAATCTTCATCCCCGAAGAGTCTGTGCCATTCGTAGTCTTGCCTGGATTTTGTTGTTGTAATTTTCCATTGACCTTAATCACAGGGCATGGTAGTACTAAGAGGCGTCCTAAGGGATCTCCTGTATTCCAGGTATAATCTTCCTTACCTCCATTGTGAAATTCTAGTCCAACTTCCCCTTGGTAGCCTGGGTCAATCACCTCAGACAACTCCTTTCTTAGCCTGTTGATTCAGAGGCATGAGGAGCCCAAAGTCCCCAGGTGGCAGNATTTTGTTGTTGTAATTTTCCATTGACCTTAATCACAGGGCATGGTAGTACTAAGCAACATCCTGAGGGATCTCCTGTATTCCAGATATAATCTTCCTCACCTCCATTGCGAAGTAGTAGTCCAACTTCCCCTTGGTAGTCTGGGTCAGTCACCCACCAACACGGCAACTCCTTTCTTAGCCTGTTGATTCAGAGGCATGAGGAGCCCAAAGTCCCCAGGTGGCAGCCTTAACTTCCAGTTCAATGGTGTCAGTTTTGTGTCTCCTGATGGAAGCAT